GCCCTCTCCCCAGTCGACTCCTCAGAGGCAGCCATAGCCAAAGTGGCTTTACCTGGATTATTGAACATGAACTTTGATGTTTAGTGAGATTATTACCTACAGTACATGAGATGGATAAATATTCTATAAAATGGACCTATATTGTTTTTATCTTCTATCATAAACAATATGTTTTCTTAATCATGACACCATGGTAATGCTTACTTATCAGAAACATGAAGGGTACCTCTTTTGTTACTGTTGTCATTGTCATTTAATGAAAAAGCAAGCAAAGGACATGAAATCCATGTAAATTATTTAACTAGGAATAAATAATAATAATAATTTCATTGAATGTTCACATGTATGTGTGTTTGTGTGTGTGTTTATTTTGAGCAGGAATGGGAGGCCACTATGAGCTTGATGAGTATGGTGACCGAGACGTTAACTTCTCGTTCATTTACACTTCAACTGACACCGACAACGTGAGACTTCTGTCCATTTAACAGAACGAGCAATATCAAAGGGACCGGCTGTTTTAATGCCTCGTTTCTACCTTTCTGCAGTATGAAACCCTGTTAATGTTTGATACATCTCAAAATAAAACCATCTGGTTTCGTCAAGACCCTGCCCTGTTTTGGAAAGATCGACTTCCTGATGATGAACCTGAAAACCCAAATGGTAAGACATTCAGTTTAGACCATGTGGGGTAGAGAAAACTTGAAGAGACGTATTTTATGGTGGAGTTTTTCTCTTTCAAAAGTCACTTTCAAGACAGGCCTGAGACACGCACCATCTTTGAATGATTTTAGAAATGACTGCAGCACCATGATGTAGGTTGAAGTCAACCTGCCACTGTTACACCTCTGAACCTCCAACAATGTAGTCACAGAGCTGAAACAGTCAGTATGTGTGGGGTAAACAGGCATTACAATCAGGGGTGTGGTGTGAGGTGATGATAGACTGTGACCAGTTGATCAGGGGATTTAGAGTGTGATGATACATGAGTTAAAGTTCCACCATGACGGCTTCATTTTCAAGAGGTCACATTAGGCTCCTTCATTAAACAGCTCTGCAAAATGGTTGCACGGACCAGTCCATCTTTCTCCTCCCCCTGGACATTCATAAATCACAGATGAAGCCAGCCACTTTCTGCACAGATGGGAGATTTCAGAAATTCAGTGAGTGGCGAGACGTTGTTTTTTGGAAGAAAACATTAGCGAAGCAGGGAATCTCACAATTTCTAACCCCAGATTGTGAAACTACAGCACTTTGGACAAATATGCCAATAACAGGTTTTCAGGCTGCTGTGCAGAACATTTGTACTGGCCAGCTGAGTAGTTCAGTAAACTCTTCCAAAAATAGGCAGCTGCAGGAATTTTTACCAATCAATAATCAGTCACTCAGAAGACAGAGATTTACAGGGACAAACCAGAGAAGTTGCAGGAATGTAGACTGCAGTATGGAATAAAAACATGTTTAAAATTTAAAGTATATCAATACAAATAACCTATGAATAAATGATGCATTTATAACTTGGTTGATTATGGACTGTTAAACCTTTAATACTTTTGCATGTGCGCTTCCAGATCTAAATACGCAAGATGTGATTGTGATTGTTTTGGGTGTCAGCGTTGTCGTGGTAACAGCCATAGCACTCATCTTCTACAGGTAAACATTACATACACCCCTACAACATGTTGCTATTTTATTATCAGCCTAAATTAATTCAGAAATGTCTCATGTTTATGCATTTGATGTCTGTGAATGTTTTCAGGCAGAACAGGAAAGAGCGTCTCATGCAGAAGAGGTGGTCCCACATCGAGCCGCATCAGATCGGCCCTCTTGATGAGAAGGAGGTCTCCCTGAAGGTGAGAGATGCCAACAAGACATTGTTAAAAACAAAATAGTGATAAATAAACAAAGTGATCAGGACTGGAAATAAAGTCACATAAAATTAAAAATAATTTTTTAGAATTGTTTTATGTTTATAACAGTTGAAATGGAGCAAACGTGTCACGATAGACCAGAATTAAGATAGCTAGCGGATCAAGATAAGGAGATAAAAATCATATACACGTCATCAAAGCTAAGTCTGTTAGCATACAAAGGCTCAAAGGCCCTTATAATAAATGAGCCCTTCGTTTAAACCCTGTTTTAGCAGTCCGCCAAATCAACACAGTTGCAAAATGTTCATAAAGAAATTATAAATGACAAAAAAAACCAACAACTAAATGAAACTCAGAAAGACTCAAAACTATCACAGTGCCTTTATCAGATACAAACTCCTGACGGTGTCTGAAGGATCAAATCTGGACTTTGTCTTTGGTTTTCTGTTCCCACATGCAGGGTGTGTATTCTGTGCTCACCTTTTTAAACATTTGCGTCATAAACTAATGAGAAAACAAACAAAAAGTGCAAGGTAACAAATAATATAGTCACAGAGAATTTGTTCCCCATTCCCACTTGTTTGTCTGTATTTTGGAAGGAATAGTAGTTTTGATACAAAAACAAAGAAACAACATGACTCAGAATGGCTACAAACCAGAAAGAAAAACTAAATAAAGACAATTAAGGAGAACAGAAAAATTTGAATTTTGCATTTTGTTTCATTACTGAGAATATGCATTTAATGTAAATTATTTACAACAAGAAACAACATTTAGGCTTTTGTAAAATGGAAAACAAAAGGCCCACGGTGATGTATTAAATATGTTTTAAAAAGCACTGACGTAGTGAAGACTCAGTATAATCATGGTGTACCAAGTCTGATATAATCTGGTTTTCGTGTTGTAAAGCACAGAGACGTAATGTTTCTGACCTGAAAGTAACACACAGAGACAGGTCACAATAATATCTGTATTTAATATTTAAAAATGGCTCTGACTGTGTTCTGATCATCAGTGCATGGGCTCAGGAACATTTCCAGAAAACGTCATGATTGTGTCATCCACAAATTAATATTAAAGTGCAAAGAAAAACATCTTGAAAAGCTACGATCTTCTCTCGACCAAAGCTCGTTTAAAATGGACTGAGGCAAAGTAGAAAACTGTTTTGTGGTCAGTTGGATCAAAATTAGAAAGTCTTATTGGAAACCATAACACCACATCCTCCACACTGAAGAGGAGCTGGTCCATCCAGCCTGTTATGGGTACACTGTTTAAAAGCCTGCCTCTCTGATGGTATAGGGGTGCTGTGACTGAGGGAGCAGGGGACAGGTGGAGACAGGTGTAGCAGTGTGACTGGAAAAATACTGAGGGAGTACGCTGGTGACCCAGAGGAGCACAGTGGAATAAACAAACAAACAAAAAAGAAAACACATAAATAAAAACAAAGCCCAGGGACCACAAAACAAAAACAAACCTAATTAAACACAAAACACTATAAACAAACGGACCCAAAAACACCAATCCTGACAGAAAGCCGTTTATAAAACGTCAAAGTTCATGCTCAATAATCCAGGTACCAAATCCAACAAAGTTCAGTCAGGTCATCTGGACGGTTTATTTTTTTGTTGAGATGTTTCATCCTTCATTCATAGGACTTCATCAGTCCGAGGAGCCACAAACAAACCAAGCCCCACAAGCAGCACATTCCCATAGTGGACCAACCAGTTTGTTGGTGATAAGATGGTTTCTGGGGCCCGCCCTCTACCCCGTCGACTCCTCTTAGGCAGCCATAGCCATCTTACCACCAGCAAACTGGTTGGTCCACTATGGAAGTATGCTGATTGTGGGGCTTGGTTTGTTTGTGGCTCCTCGGACTGATTAAGTCCAATGGATGAAGGATGAAACGTCTCAACAAAAAAAGAAACCGTCCTGATGACCTGACTGAACTTTGTTGGATTTTATAAAACGTGTACCACAGAAAAAAAAATAAAACAGGAGCGTTTTAACATTAAAGAAAAACATCCATAACAGACAAAGTGGTTTAAAAAGATTTTATTTTTACAGAGATGTAAACAGTTTTCCAATAGAACATGTTTTATATTTATTTAATGCATATTTTCTGTTTAGAATCAAGATCAGAGAATTTGAGGTTCAGAACAGCTAACTCTAAACTAAATATTCTTAGTTTAGAGTTAGCTGTTCTCCAAAATGGCCTCCTACTGCTCATCCATCCATTCTGTTTGTGTTTCTGGGACAGATTGATGAAGATAAGAGAAAAGACAGCACATATTTCACTCAGCGAGGCTGCTACGACAAGAAGGTACCCTTATTTCAGCTTCCGAAATTTACTTTTTGGGTTTTAAAAGTGTAAAACCAGAGATTTTCTTCTGTGCTTCACTGTGGCCTCCAGCCTGTGATCCTGAAAGAGCTGAAACACACGGACGTGGATTTCACCGCAGAGCAGAAAATTGAGCTCAATACTGTGAGAGCGTTCTATTTTACATTTTTGAAAGTTATACTGAAAAATATAAAATTGTTTATATAGCCTTTTTCCACTCCTCCATGTGTTCGTGCTACAGCTGCTGCGCATCGATTACTACAACCTGACCAAGTTCTACGGCACGGTGAAGTTTGAGTACGGTGTGTTCGGCGTGTTTGAGCTGTGCCAGAGAGGCTCCCTCAGAGTAAGAAAACACCCTGAAGTGTCACTACACATCCAGTCTGATTGGTTTCTTTGTGCTTTGCTAGAAAGCACAGTTTCTACCAGTTTGCAGAATGTCTATTTTTATTTACTTGTTCAACAACTTTGAAACAATCAAAAATGTCAGTAAAAGGTGAAAAAATAGGGATCAAGTTTAGCACACAGCCTTAATAAAAAATCTTCATGTAAGATACGATAAGATAAGATAAGATAAGATAAGATAAGACAGAACTTTATCCTGTTGGAAATATTTGAAGGTTCTTGTAGCAATATATGATATTATGTTTTGACTCATAAATACATTTTGAAGTGTGGTTCTGCGAAAATGTTATGAACAAATAACATCTTACCTGCTGTAGATATTTTTTTGAACAACCTTACCACCTTATTTCTGGCCTCTATGCTGCCTTGCATGAATTATGGGTGCAACTTCCGGCACGGACCAGAACCAACGTTTGTTTATGTGTGAACAGTACGAGCTAATGTAGTTTCTCGGAGCATGGTGGATTTAATTTAAACATGGCGTAACTCCACCTGTCAGAGCTCCAACAGGACAATATAATCATCCCGATGCCTGCTGCAGAAGAAGTGACCACAGATTCTAGCATATTTAGCTACTTCATTGACTCGGTTGCTTGCTTTGCTGTCGTTGGGTATAACTGGGACCTTGAGTACACAATTTCTTTCCACCTCATGTACCACATGTGTTGCAAATGACAATAAAGAAACTTGAACTTGCTTCCGACGGTGAACTGATGAACAACCTGAAAAGCTCTGAGGCGTAAGTATCTACACAGTAATAAGGTCGGTGGTGTTTTGTTAAAAGAGGTGGGACACAATCTTATTTATCTTAAAGCAGACACAGAGCCCAGACAAAGTCTTAAAGTCCCTCACCATCGAGCTTGGGTTAACTGCAGAGACGTAATACTGAACACAAACAAATACAATAACGCTGTGACCTCCATACACTTGAAATCATACCTGATATTCTCGTCACAGTTTTCAATCCTGAGGATCCAGCGTCTCTTCTCCGGTGGTTTATTGTAGTCCAGACACAAAGTAGGATGCAGGTTTTCCTCCGTCAGCCGTTTGTCAACAAAGTGAAATGAGCACATATACAGCAATATGAGTGGTCTCTTCAAGTTCACATTTTTCATTCATAATCTTCTCAATTCCTCATCTGTAGGTAGATGATGGAAACTATACCGCTTTTCACAGGAACGCTCTTTGTTTGTGTTGGGTCTGTGCTCAAAACACTGTTGCACTGATTTAGTTTGGTCTGGTTGTTCGTGCAGCCGCGAACACAACAGGTACCTGAACTCCACACGGCTATTTTAGTAAACTTAATAGTTGTTAAATAAATGTGAATGACAGGTGGTCGGTGTCTGACAGGAAGTTGTACCCATAATCATTTATACAGTAGAGCCCCCAGGAATAAGGTGGATATTGAAGAAACAGGAGTTTATTTTGATCAGATTGATAAACTTAACTACTAATCCAAGGCTAAAACTAAAGTGGATAACTTGTGTCCTTAAAAAACTTGAATCTCAAAGTTTCATAAAGTATGATGCAAGCACCGTTTTGTAAACCTTTATAATGTCATTAAAATTTGCGTTGCACAAATATTTGCATGCAATCTGCGATTATTTAGAAGCAACGTAGAACTCCTGGTGCAGCTGGGGCACTTCTGACAAGAATATAATATTTTTTACTACAATATCAAAGTAGAGTGAAACTAAGACACGAAAGTTTAGAAAATAGTGTTTTCACGAGCTGCTTTAAAGTTTTAGAGATCGAAGATGTTTTGGTGTCACTTGCCATTTCAACTTGAATAAAGAATAGTTTTGAGATTTATGACTTTTTTTTTAAACTTTGTTTATTGCATTGACATCATGCAACAATCTTCTGTTAAGCTGTTAAGCTGTTGTCCTCACCTTCTTTCATGTTGCTTTACAAACATGTTTATGACTGAGCCTGGTCTTTTTTCTGCACTGATTCTAATGACTTTACCGTCTATGTTACAATTACAGTTTACACAGTCCTAATAGTGTGTGTGTTTATGTGTTTGAATATAATCTTCTGCTTGCACAAATACATGCACACATATTGAGATTATTAGGTTCTTCTCTTTTCCATTACCAGAACAGAACCTGTGATCAGAGCCATAAAAGTGATGAAATGTGAACTGGATTTGTTCTTATTTTCCAGTACATTCTGGCTGACAGGATATCCTACCCCGATGAAACCTTCATGGACATGGAGTTTAAGATATCAGTCATGTATGACATAGCAAAGGTACTAATTAGTAGTGAACGTAAAAATTATTTACAATAACTTACTTTCACTTGATGCACATTGTTCGTCTTTAATGGCTACTGGCATGTGTGTAATTGTCAGTGTGTGTGTGGGTGTGTGTGTGCGTGTGTGTGTTTGTGTGTGCTTATACATATTTGCTTGTCTGTTAGCAAATTATCTCATGAACCATCAGATGGATTTTAAAGTCACTTTTAGAAAGTCTTAATTGAATGTGCATCTACAAAAGATGAACTTTTGGTCTAACATGATTCAAGATGGCTGCCACAGCTAAGCAACCTTAACACCAAAATTGCTTTAACTCACTCATGTTTACAGATATTGAGCTGAAGTTTGGTGTGGTAGTTGTTGAGAGTCCTCTGCAACACATACACTGAGCACTAATGGATTGTGTGTTTGTGTGTTTAAAACTTTGCAAGGAGGCAGGAGGTATGCATTAATTCAAGAAATGTTAATGTCATTATTTATTAAGATACATTTAGTTTTATGACCAAAAGCACAGCAAAATATTAGAATTATTTTTGCAATGAAAATGTGAAAATACACTTTAAATTTGGTGATACAGCAAATAACTTTTTAAACTATCCCCATTTATATTTCCTTTTTAATACTTTCTTCTGTCTTTATATTGTCCACAGGGCATGTCGTACCTCCACTCCAGTAACATTCAGGTTCACGGTCGCCTCAAGTCCACCAACTGTGTGGTCGACAACCGCATGGTGGTCAAGATCACCGACTTTGGTTGCCACACCATTCTGGGGCCAGGCAGAGGTGGGACTGTGTGTCGTCATCCCTGAGCTGCATTATACGTCTGAGATTGTCAGAAACTCAGTTTATTTTTATTTTTAGATCTGTGGACAGCCCCAGAGCATCTTCGTAAAGAAGGCGTGTCTCAGAAAGGGGATGTTTACAGCTACGGCATCATCGCTCACGAGATTGTTTTCAGGCAAACCCCGTTTTACACACGATGCTGCTCTGATATTGCAGGTAGGTCAGCATTACAAAATCACGAACAACTGAAGGGTAAAGTCCAAACTCTGCAAAAAATGGAATTAAATTTAAATGTGTTTTTTTAACAAAGCATTTTTTTAATTAAACATGGTCCTGTTGCAACTTTTTACCTCACAACCCTCAGAGAAAATGTACAGAGTGCAGTGTCCCAGAGACAACACCATCTTCAGACCAGACCTCAACTTTGAAGGTGCATCAGACAAAGAGATTGAGGTAAACATGCCCCCCCGCCCACACACACACACACACACACAACCAACAGGTTATTTTAAAACACACACACAATAATTACTTACTGACCTGATTATGAATAGTTAATTATATAATTTATAGCCTATTAAAATGTTTAAAATACCTCTTTTTTCTTTGTGCATGTGTAAAGCTGTACTTTCTGATAAAGAACTGCTGGGATGAAGATCCTGAACGAAGGCCAGAGTTCAAAAAAATCGAGTTAACGCTCGGAAAGATTTTCAGGTGCTTCAACACGTTTTTTCAGAACAACTTTAAATTATTTCCTCTATGTGTCTCACGGCTGATTTTAGAGTCCATAATTGTATGTGAACTGAAATCACAAGTGATTCTGTGAATATTTTAGCATTTCACATGATCACTTCTATTTTATTTAAGCTCCTTTCTAAATCTTTGCGTTATTACAGTAACTTGCACAATCAAGCTACTGAGACGTACATGGACAACCTGATCCGCCGTCTGCAGATGTACTCCAGGACTCTGGAGCATCTGGTGGAGGAGAGAACGGCTCTGTACAAAGCTGAGAGGGACAGAGCGGATCGCCTCAACTTTATGCTGCTGCCTGGGTGCGTTGATCCGTTGATTTACTCCCAGTTTGGTTGCTGAAAGCAAGACTGACAAATGCCAAGCAAATTTATAATTCATGAAGCAGCTGTTTAACAATAATATAGCTGACGTTAAAAACCTGCATCATCTCATGACAAAATTATTTTTTTTGCACGTGCATGATTTTTAAAAGTAATTGAAGCTCTTTAAAAGCTGATTTGAGACATGTTTTCTACTCCGTGTGTTTCCTCAGCCCCGTGGTGCGCTCTCTGAAGGAGACGGGCAGGGTGGTGCCCGAGCTGTTCGAGAAGGTGACCATCTATTTCAGCGACATCGTGGGATTCACCACTCTCTGTCACTACAGCACCCCCATGGAGGTGGTGGACATGCTGAATGAGATCTACAAGAACTTTGACAGCATCCTGGACCATCACGACGTCTACAAGGTAGTCTAACATCTGAAGAGTAATTTATAAGAAGCAGAGCTGCAGCAGGTAGAAGGTTTCAGTTCTTTTTCTCGTGTTTTAAAGCTTTAGAGTCAGAGTCAGAGAGAGAGATTTATTTGTCATACACACCACATGTGGTACATGAGGTGGGACGAAACGATGTACACAGGGTC